TATATGGATATAAAACAAAATTAAATTCCTAGAATCCTTCACTTGACAAAGGCTCTGATCTGGAGATTTGCTCTTTCGCTGTTACAAAGATGAATTAAGTGTCAGAGAGGTGCTGAGGACCTAAGAGTCGCAAATGGAGACTTTCTCCTGGGCTGAATCAGCAGGATTACGGGAGTCCTGAAAAGAGACCAACATCCTCACATGTGAGTCGCTGATGAATGCCAAGGCTGTGTTCCAGCAAAACCAACAACTTATCACCACTGGAACATCCCATCCAAAGACAGAATTCACTTCACGGCTTTGAGCTATAAACCCTTTCTGAGTTGGACAGTATCAGCTTTGCCACTTCCTACTTGTGCTGAGCATCAGTATCCTCACTGGTTTGAAAAAGAAAACAGCACTGACAGCCTCTGCTTACCCATGCTCCTGAGAGTGTGGACCCATGTGCCATCTCTCCTGAGTCCTCATCCCTCCACTCCTTACTTATTGACTAGTAAATACTCATTCTTGTGATGAGATATGTGTAAATTAATTTTTTAAAAAACAACTTGACATTTATTTATTGGTTGGTTCATTTCCTATCACGTTGGCAAAAAGAAAAAAGAATTTGAGTGTGATAGCATTGAGTGCTGAGAAGACTTGGGGAAACTATATCATCATATGGTGATGTTTGGAGTGTAAAGCGATAGAGAGAATTTTTGTTGACTGCCCCAAAGCTAAGGATAAAATGGGATCGATAAAAAGCCCCACATTCTGAAGAGAGCTGCAGACAAACCCTTCAGGACTTCCTAGTGAGAGAGCCGGTCTGGTCCTGCAAATCTCCACCATCATCCACCTCTGTGAAATAGAGCTGTGGGGGTCCTCTCCTGTGCCTACAGGGGGCGCCCCGCACCTCAAAGAAAGTGAAGGGGTTGTTCCAAAAGAACCTTGTAGAGCTGGCTGGTTAGCTCAGTTGGTTAGAGCGCAGTGTCATAACATTAAGGTCAAGGGTTCCGATCTCCATGCAGGCCAGCCGCCAAAACAAAAAAAAAAACCCAAAAGAACCTTGTGGAGACTGGAGGCCCCTCTCAGGGCTGCAGGAACTGGAAGGCCCAGATGAGGCTGTAAGAAGTTCTTAGAAGAACCTGATACGTGTCCCTAAGGGTTTGGAGACCTATATGAATATGGAGACAGACTAGTGCTGGCTTCCAACCTGGAGCATTCTAGAGGAGGGACAGAGACCAACTGGAGCAGCCTGAGATGGCCGAGATAAGAGTGCATCCTTTTGGCTTGGCAAGAATATTCAAGACACCCTAGGCCAAGTGAATGCCAACAAAAGTGGTAAACTCAAGGTGTTATGATAGGCCCCTGCCCAAGACAGCTGCCTGCTGCAGGAAGTGTAATCCCCTGGGGGGGAGGAGGACAGGGGCTGAGGGGTTGTCACAAGAGGTCAACCAGAGGTTGGAAAACTACTCACCAAAATGACAATAGAGATCACTTCAGATGAGGGAGGAAGAGAAGAAATTGGGATTAGAGCTTATGGTCAAAGAGATCAATCCCCTTATCTGAAAAATATTAAGTATATTCATCAATTATTTATATTTTTAAAAATAATTTGAAGAACTCATGTCCCTAAGGGTCTGGAGGCCTGGATACAAATAGCCAGCACCAATGCAAACCTTTGTGGACATCTCTTGTTTCATCCTGAAAATCCATGCAAATTCTGTATTCTACTTCATAATATGTTTGTTTTAATATGAACGTGATGCTTTCAATTTTAACTTATTGGTTAAGTTACATAATTTTCCTACCACCATCACTATTAAGGATCATAATAATAATCTTGGCATGAGGTTGGCGCTCCAAGCACCGTGCACCTGGGGGTCCAGGTCCTTTGTGGTCAGACCAGCATGCACCCAGGGGATACTGGAACCCGAGTGACAGGCAGCAGAACCCAGAGTGGCTCCAGTTGCAGTGAGGCCTCATGTTGTGAAGATACTGAATATAAACAAGATACTGAATATAAAGCTAGTGACACAAAAAGAGCTCTCAATAAATGCTTTTGCTTGCAGTTTTACCATGACTTTGGCAGGTGCACATGTGCTGTTGTGCTTCACGAGGACATCGGGAGACACGGGGATGTCTCAGCAGCCATTTACTCTGGGTTCCCAGCATTCCCATGCAGGGAAGGACCGAAGGAAGAGACACTGGCCCTTTAATACGCAAGTGCTGGAGGGACCCACTTCTCTGTTCACATTTCACCTTCCTTCAGCCCCAGGGAGACTGGCTAGGTCAGATGGCAGCGTTTCCCATGAACTTGTCTCTCACCCAGCCAGCCCCCACCAACACAGGGCCGTTTCCCTTACTACACACACAGCTCAAGCCACAGCAACTTCATGCAGAAGGAAGCTGTGGCAACTATAAAAGGAAGTTTTCTGCTATAACTCCAACAAAACAGAGCACCAGTGACTGAGTACAGGAGGCAGACAAAGGCCAACCCATCTCTGGGGGACACAGGACTCCTTGGATGGGTGGCTTTGACTGCGGGAGTCCCCATATGGTCGAGGACGCTTCCACCCAGCATTCCCTCCCCCTCCCCTGCACTCAGCATCAGACCCGCATCACAATCTGATGGCTTGCCCATTTTCTCTCACACAGGCATCTTCCCTCAAAGAATCTTTACACAGTAATCCTGTCTTGGCATCTGCTTCTCAGAGCACCCATTTCCTCAGAAAGAGCTTTTGGGCTCTTGGCTACCCCCACCCCTCCCCTGACACCCATGACCTATGTGTAGACAACTCAATGCCACGGGATGCACCTTATAAAGGGAGTGCTGGGGTATCCCGAGGGCAGAGGAACCAACTCTTTCTGGGGGCCTAGAAGGTCAGGAGAGGAAAAGAAACGGTGGCAGCTGAGGAGAGCCCCAAAGGAGGAGTGGGAGGGAAGAGGCAGTCCTAGCAGAGAAGTTGCACGACATAGGGTGTGTGGGGACCCCACAAGTTCAGTATGGCCAGAGTGTAGACAGGCACAGGGCAGCAGTACAGATGAGGCAGGAGAATGGCAGGCCACCTCAAATGCCCAGCTGGAGACTTGGGACTTTATCCCATAGGCAACAGGGAGCTGAAAGTTTTGAGCAACTGAGTCAATTGACCACACTTGCAGTTTCAGAATGATTAAATGGGTTAATATTAAAGGCTAAGAGAGCAGTTAGGAGACTACTGCCTAGCAATAGGTCATTTTTCTCTTCCCACACATTTAATGAGGAAGGAGTCAGAATATAATCGTTTTTATGAATGGTGCTAAGTTTTATGACCAAATAATGCTTTTACTTTATTGTTTTATTTTAAGTTTTATTTTCTAGCAAAAAGAGCTTCTAAAATTAATCTTCTCTCTGTCTCCCAAAGCCAAGGCCCAACAGGCCTTCCTCTGGGAGACACACCCAGGGATGCCCCCCTTCCCAGCCAGATCCTTTCTTACCCAACCCACAACCTTCCTCTTACCGTCTTAGTCCTGTACCCAACAACCCCCAAGAAAATGCCCACGCTGGTACCAGTTGCCAGGGGTCCCAGGTGCTTTCACACACAGCAGCAGCAGAACAGCCTGGAGAGTACATGGCCCCAGGCCACCACCTTCCCATAGGACTGAAGGGGAGCAGCCTTCAGTCCCAATTGCCTGAGTACCCAAAGGCCTCTCCATCGAGGGAGGAGGGATTCTCGATCTGGGCCTCAATGGTTACAGCAGAGCCCAAGAATGGGCCTTTCAGCTAAAACCAAAGAAGGCGTAAACCGGCAAGTAAGCAGTGAGGGGCCAATTCCAGGAGATCTAGTGGGAACCTTCTGTTATTCTCCACAAGCAGCAGGGCCCAGAGGGGGGTTAGCAGCAGGCTCTTTTTTCTTGGGTGGCAACCTGGGGGGTTTCCTCAATGTCCAGAACACTCAGTACACATATTCCAGAAGCAAAGGGAGATAAGTTGAAGGTTGGTTTATTCACCCAGCATAGATTCTGGCGGTTTGTAAATGTCTGTTGGATGAAGGAATATATTTGGGCCTATGCCTTGATCTGCACTGATGCTGGCCAGGCAGGCGGGGATGCTCTGAGTGAGTGGCTCGCCTTTCGTGATCCCACTTGTGACCAGAAACAGCAGCACCTGGGAACCTTTCAGAGATGCAGACTTGCCCCAGACCTACTGAATCAGAAACTCAGCAATCTGTGATTTAACAAGTGACTGTCAAGGGCTTTAAAATGTGACTGGATGCATGCTCAAGTGGGAGAACCGCTGAGTGAAAGGGCTTTCAGGATGGTGAGTCTGGAGCCCCTGCCCCCAGGCCTGGAGGAGGAGGAGGGATTGAGCTCAGAGGTCCCTCAGTCTACAGAGTTCTCAGGCTGATCCCCTCGATCCCCCCACCCCAAGCCTGGCCCCTTTTCCCTCCCTCCCTCAACCTCAGTTTCTTCCTGGAAACCCTGGGGCCTCCTGGTTCCCAAACCCAGATTTCCTCACTGACCTGATTCCAGATCTCCCTTCCACACCAGGTCCTGTTCACAAGGTCATCCTGACCCCTCACCAGCATTCCTCTGTCCGTGCCAACCCCACACTTCTCAGAACTGGTGGAAACCCCAATCCCCAGCCCCCCGCCCCCCACCCGT